AAATTATGTAAAAATGTATATTAGTTACATAGTAGTTCAAATGAATAAAAGCAGGACTGCTTAAAAAAAAAAAAAAATCAAATTTATATTAAACAATTATAATTTTATATTTAACTAAACTTGTTTAAAATATTATTATATGCTAAAATAATGTATTTTTGGTGCTGAACAAGTTTACTTAGAGCTTAAAGTCATACTTTATTAGTAATATTTTGAGTGATACAAGAGTTTCTATATTTTTATTAATAAAAATATAAGAAAATTATTATAAACTAAAATTTTACTAATAAAATATGCTTTTAAGTTCTAAGTAAACTTGTTCAGCACCAAAAAATACATCATTATGGCATACATTTTCTTTACTTTTCTTGATTTGTAAAGTAAGGATGTGTAAATTTGGTAAATTTTCATCAAAAATGCAATTTTACACATTTTAATTTACAGATTAAGAAAAGTAAAGCAAACGTATGCCGTAATAATGTATTTTTGATGCTGAACAAGGTTACTTAGAACGTAAAGGCACATTTTATTAGTACAAAATTAGTTTATGATAAATTTTTTATATTTTTATTAATAAAAATATAGAAAAATTATTGTAAACTAAATTTTTACTAATAAAATGTGCCTTTACGTTCTAAGTAACCTTGTTCAGCATCAAAAAATACATTATTACGGCATATTTTTGCTTTACTTTTCTTAATCTGTAAATTAAAATGTGTAAAATTGCATTTTTGATAAAAATTTACTAAATTTACACATTTTTACTTTACAAATCAAGAAAATTAAAGAAAACATATACGTAATGATGTATTTTTTGGTGCTGAACAAGTTTACTTAGAACATAAAAGCCTATTTTATTAGTAAAAGTTTAGTTTATAATAATTTTTTTATATTTTTATTAATAAAAATATAGAAAGCTTGTATCACTCAAAATATTACTAATAAAGTATGACTTTGAGCTCTAAGTAAACTTGTTCAGCATCAAAAAATACATTATTGCAGAATATATTTGTATCTTATATAAGTTTATTAGAGGCTCAAAGTAATAATTAATTAGTAAAACTATATATATATATATTATATATATATATTTCAGAATTGTCTTATGTAGGAGAGGGAGTACACTCATAGTAAATGGATATTACGTAATATCTGTCATGGCTCTAAGGTTTCACTCTATAATATAAATCAAAATATCAGATTATTACAATAATACTAAATACTATTAATCATTATTCTAATAACTATTCTTCACCTCATAAACTAAAACTACACTCTTATATATATCTCTAATTTATATAAGAGTTTTTAATCCCTTACTTGGAGCTTCAATCACTCAATTAGGCCGAACCTGAACTAGGCAGAACCCGAACCTTGAAGCCCTACCTTGATGGTATTATTTGTACAAATCATTAATTTTAAAACTCCAAATATAATTTAAAATTTTACCTGCATAAGATGATTGGATATACTGGATCTAGACTATGTCCAAGTATATATTCAATATCTATGTTTAGTCTAATGGTGTTAAAAATGGGTGGACATATGTCCAATGCCAATACTGGATACAGATAATAATTAGAAAGCTCAAGATTAATTAATTAGTAAAGCATGAATTGATTACAAGAGTCAGTTATAATATAGTAATATGTATAATAAATATCGTAATAAATTACAAATAAAATAGCAAAATTAGTAATTAAATTAAAAATCAAATGCATGTGAGCGAAATATAATATAATGAAGAGAAAAAAACAGATATATAAAAATTAAAGAAAAATAAAAGAACTCATTAGTGCTTTTTACATAGTAATAATATATAAACCAAATTGTAGCTTATAAGTATACTATATCAATCCTTGTTAGCAGAATATGAGTAATATAAAAGTATCTCTTTCAATATAAGAAAAGTAAAATGCCAAATAGTAATATAAGAAACTCACATAAAAACATTACTATTACCAAAAATATAAGGAATACACACAAAACATTCTCAGTAATAAATAACAAAGAATATATAAACTTAATAACATTATCAAAACAAAAGAAAGATATAAGCACTTTATTATCACTATAATATAAGAAATAGCCACAAGCATAAAGTATGACTTCCAAAGATTTAAAAAAACTATTTTATTATAAAACAATAATAAATTAATCAAAAGCTTTATTGTTAATTATAAAAGATATGCTGCTATGAAAGATTGGAATGATGCCAAAAAGAGGCTAGTAATTGGACTCTACATTGCAAAACCACTACATGACTAGGTCAGAAACATTGTGGAAGATAAAAATACATGGACCAGAAAAAAACTAATATTCTAACTTTAGCAAAAGCAAAATACAATACTAAAGAGAAGATTGAATGACTAATGAACTTCAAACAGAATGAAAATGAAAGTATAATATCATATACCAACTATTTCAAAGCTTGCAGTGAAAAAATAAAGAATGAAATTAACAACTATAAAAAGAAATAGTGGTATATAAGGGGTCTTTTGGTGAGATTTAAGAACAAAATAAAAGAGAAATATTCTAAGATATATAAGAAAACAAAAGAATGTGCAATAAAAATTAAAAAGTTTGAAAAGAGTGATGAATTCGATTTAAAAAAAGCCTTCATAATTGGAAAAGTATCAGTATCCAAAACAGATGTAGAAGTTGAAAAATTAACTAATACTTTTTCTGAATTGAAAATTTGTCAAGTAGACCAAAGTAAAAAAGGCACTAATAGAATAGATAAGTTAGAGTCAAACATAGTTGAACTTACCAAAGTTATTAAAAACATGGCAGACAATAAAAATCAAAGCAATAAAAGTCAGTCAACAAGAAACTCATAGCAAAATAATTAGCACC